AGATGATATGGTGTTTCACCTATTTCAGGGTATTATAATTTTAGAATGCGCTTTACACGTTATGCATATTTGCTCTTCGGTAAAATCGTAGCAGAAGAAGTAGAGCAATATAAAATTAATCAAATAGGCCAGCTGTAGAGTAATACCTGTGGCAGTTTGACTCGTAGTTCTGTATGCCCAGAGGACGTTGTTGAGCTCGTCTGCCCATTTGGCCTTGTGTTGTTACAACCTCAGCTTTATACCTTCTAGGATGCACTTGTTAACAGATTCGACCATGTCGTTGGACTCCGAATGGTAAACCGAGGTGAACTGCAGTTTAATCCTGTAGCTGGAACAGAAATCTCGAAAAGAGGTGCAGTTAAATTGAGGTCCATTATTAGCCACAATCTGATTCGGGATCCCATATCTGCAGATTATTGAGTTGAAAACAAAGTCTTCAACTTTCTTGGAAGTAAGACTGGATAACGGTCGAGCTTCAACCCACTTTGTGAAATAATCTACACCAACGATCAGGTGGGTTACACCACCAACCCCTTTCACGAATGGGCCTAAAAGATCCAATCCCCACTGAGCAAATGGCCATGGTGCTACCAGAGTAGTGAGCTCTTCTGCAGGCTGGTGAGTCAGGTGTGCAAAGAACTGGCATTTCGAACATCTTTGAACAAAGTGAGTGGCATCCTTGTACATGTTGGGCCAATAATAACCCTGTCTAAGGACTTTATGGGCCAAGGTTCGAGCACCCACGTGACTTCCACAGACACCTTCATGCACCTCCCTAAGTGCATATTCTGCTTCATAGGGATTCAAGCACCGTAGAAGAGGTAGAGAGAAAGATCGCTTATAGAGGATCCCATTAACAAGTGTATACCGAGATGCTTTCCTCCTCAACTTCATTGCCTCCTGCCTGTCCTCAGGTACTGTCCCATCTCGTAAGAAGGAAAGGATTGGGTCAGTCCAGCTCGGTGTGCCTGGGTCGGTGCTGATCTCCATCACCCGTGGCTTCACGAAGCTTGGTTCATCTAAGACCTCCACAAAAACTGATCTGGAATGTGAAGAACTATCAGAGGCGAATTTAGAGAGTGAATCTGCCTGTTCATTCTTAGTTCGGGGGATTTTGCTCAGACAGAATTTCTGGAATTTGCACTTCAGCTTGGCCACCAGAGCTACATATTTCACAATCACAGGATCAACAACTTCGCAAATTGAGTTAATTTGGTTCACCACCAGTTGGGAGTCACTGTATACTTGGATCGCACTGAGTTTTAATTCAAAGGCTAGCTGCAGACCCAGTAGCAGGGCTTCATACTCAGCCATGTTGTTTGTTACATCGAAGTTAAATTTCAGAGCATGTTCACTTTGGTATCCATCTGGGCTAATCAAGAGAGCACCAGCTCTTGAACCTTTGCTACTAGATGCCCCATCAACATATAAGGTCCAGTCATTGGGCTCCGGAGTAGGAATGGAATTACCTGGAGTGCACTCTACAATGAAATCTGCCAGTGCCTGAGCTCGGATTGCAGATCTCTGCTTAAATGTTATCTCGAACTCCCCCAGTTCTACTGCCCACTTAATTAATCTTCCAGAACACTCAGGCTTTTGCATAATCTGCCGAAGGGGTTGGTCTGTAAGAATAATGATCGGGTGCGACTAGAAATACGGCCTCAACTTTCTGGCCGAAGTGATGACTGCTAAAGCTGCTTTCTCAGCTATAGGATACCTCAGTTTGGCTCCATGCAGCACACTACTAATATAATATATTGGTTTCTGCTGCTTGGCTTCTTCTCTTACCAGAACCGAACTAATGGCTTCATCTGAAATTCCCAGATATAGATA